CATCATCATCATCATCATCATAGCACCTCCCTGCCTCAGCCCATCTTCCGATCATGAAATTCTCAGAAAATGACACATATAGCTACTACTAAGTGCCATAAGGATGGCGATACGAAAGAATGTATGACAGAGCACATCAAGCAAGAGATCTTGTTGCTCTGGGGGGGAAAGAATATTGACACAACCCGTTACCGCCTCCTACAACATCGATCTGCAACAATGGGGCGAGGGGGGTTGTCCCTGTAATTTCCTGTCCCAATTGGGCACACCGAGCATGCCGAACCAGCTTCAAACTGGGTACTTGAAGGGGATGAATAGCTCTATAGTGGTATCGTAACGCCACTCGGCAGTCGGAGTACCGACCGTTTACTTCTCCACAGAAAATAAGGAGTGTCTTGATCCAAGTGTACCCTTTCAGGCTGTTTTCTGACCTATCGGGCTGAACATTCATGATATTTTTGGATTCGACTGTGTCCTCTACAAACATTTTCCGTCTATTCGGTCCATTTATGCTTTTTTTTTCTTTTACAGAGCATCCTTTTGTCTCTTGGCCTCAGTGACTGAATGTCATACATAGGGACCAAGGTAGTTCCGGAGCCCTGTAGCCTTGTAGCCTTGTAGCCCCTGTGGCCCGTCAAAACAAAACAGGCGGGGCCGATAAGATCTCCCCTTCTCCCCGCGCTTCAACGTGAAACATCACACTCTTTCTCCCTTTCAACTTACACACCCAATACCATCTTCCACAATGGACCGGTCAAACAAACCCTCGGCAATTGGAGTCGGAGCTTCTCTTCCTCAACCCACTCTATCCATCAAGGACAACATCATCGAAGCTTCGTTGCCCACTGGCCAGTCAGTGACCGTGCACCTGTATGGCGCTACTGTGACCTCGTGGAAGACAGGCGGCCAAGAGCAGCTGTTTGTCAGTGAGAAGTCTCATCTGGATGGCTCCAAGCCTATCCGGGGTGGTATTCCGCTGGTGTTCCCGGTATGTGAATCATCCGATTCCTTAGCTTGAGCCACAGCTAATCGCCTTGCTGATTCTCCAGGTCTTCGGTCCCCCGCCCCAGAACCACGTTACCTCCCCCCTACCACAACATGGCTTCGCTCGCAACTCCAACTGGGAGTTCTTGGGCAAGTCCTCTTCGGAAGCGCCTGGAAGAGATAGCGACCAAACCGATCTTGCCGTGAAGTTGGATTTTGGCTTGTCGCATTCTATGCTGACCGATGAGTTCCGCGCCGCATGGCCATATGAGTTCGGTCTGGTGTACAGTGTTACGCTCACCACGGACTCACTGGAGACATCACTACAGGTTCGCAATGAGGGCCAGCAAAACTTTGAATTCCAGGTGCTGATGCACACCTATCTGAGAATTGCGGTACGATGAACCACTCCAGCGTCACTTTCCCCAATTTTTCCGCTAACTTTGCATTTGACGAACAGGAGATCTCCGACGTTTGTGTTAAAGGCCTTGAATCCAAGACCTACATTGATAAGACCCTCCAAGCAACATCTCACACCGAATCGTCCCCCGCATTGGCGATCACCCAAGAAACCGATCGCATTTACCAACAGCTTGACCCCACCGTTCCAATTGTCGTTGCGTCTTTGAAGGATGACCAACCTTTGTTCTCGGTCACTCGGGAAGGGTTGACTGATGTCGTGGTCTGGAACCCTTGGATTGAGAAGGCCCAAGGCATGGCCGATTTCGGCCCAGACGAGGCTTACAAGAATATGATCTGTGTGGAAGCTGGCTCGGTGTCTGGTTGGCAAACGCTTGAAGCTGGAGAGGCCTGGGAAGGTGGACAGAGCATCAAGTCGCGACTATGAAGATGAGAGGATATCTTGTCTCCTACCAGTGATCTCTATGCACAATAGTTGTGACCTCAAGATGCCTATTCCCAATTCCAAACTGACGGTCCGCCAATCAAGCGGCCACCTTTGATCTCTAGCCTCGTCTAATTTGACTGCAGCGTTTTAATTCACAAATCCCCATCACGTTCATCCAAGAATCAGTCTTAAGATAGAAATACATGCTTGGACAAGTTTACAGGCCATCGTCAAGAGTCACATTCCGCATCGATCTTTACTGCTTTCGAGATCCATCTCGCGTTCATCATGAAAAGTTACTGTGCTCAATACCAACAGGGGTTACACCTACAAGATCAATAAAAGACCGACGGCCCTCCTTGCCCTCTTGGAAAATAGCCAACCGCTCAGCAGCCTCAAAGCTATACTGTGGGCCATGGTACCGGCGTCTGCCATGGAACACCCACCAGAATGCAGTGAGAACCATCAAGCCGATAACGATCACACTGGTGTAGTTCATATTTTGAACCGTAGCCGGCAACACCAAGGGGAAACAGAAGAAAATAACAGTAACCAAAATGTATATCAAAGAAACAAGATTGACTGCCATCCCAAGCTTCTGTCCCATGTAAAATGGTCCGGGGACCATTTTTCCGCGACCGGTTAAAACATGCGGAAAAATAGCACCAAAGTAGGATAGCGAGCTTAGCACAATAAACGACGAGATCAGCGCTTGGAACGCCGTCGTGCTACCGATGTATATACACCCTAGACAAGTGACGAGCGCGCTCATAGCAATCGTAGCACGTACGGGACAGTTTAGCGTCGGATGTACTTGAGCGAAATAGTCGGAAAACGGCGTAGCATTGTCGCGTGCTAGACTCCACCACATTCGACCGCCGGTCACGAATGTTCCAATCAGAGTTGGGAAGGTTGCGATAAACAGCACCGCGATCAGACCGATGGCGCCTACGTTGGACCCTGTCGCTTGCCGGTAGATCTCGGCGGTTGGGAAAGAGCCGATGTTACTTGTAAAGACGGCGTCTAGATCTTGGATGGAGTAGAAGAGGGCGATCAGGTACACAAATGATGTGACGAAGGCTGTGAGCATCTGCAACATTATGCCTTGCGGGACCTGAATCTCAGGCTGGGGAACTAAAATCCGGTGTTAGTTTGGTGGTTTCCTATTGTCCTGCTTCTGACGTACCCTCTTCTGATAGATGGCTAATACAGTCTGGGACTCCAACTGCAAAAGCAGCATTCAACAAACCAGTCATGAAACAAACTCCGTCTGCCCATCCACCCGTGTTGTTGTGGTACTCCGTCCACACCTGGGCACTGCTCGCATGCTTTTTCGGCATGACCGTGAGAACCACCACGGTGATAACGAGGCCACACATTGACAGGGCAAGGGAAAGACGGTTGAGGAGGGGAATATATCGGTTTCCTAAACATACAATGGCACAACACGTCCAATTGACAATCTGGAACACAATAAAGACTTGCCAGGAATGCCACTTCCCAGTCGGGTGTGCAAGCAAATACATGGCCACACCCTCATTCCCTAACATTGAGCTCATCGATGATGCTGATAGCAACCATGCGCAAGCATTTAGATATCCAGTGAAAAACCCCGCTGCGCGGCCTCGATGCCGGCTCAATACTGATGACCAGTAGTAGACTCCACCGGCAGAAGGCATGGAGGAGGCGAGTTCAGCTAGAGAAGCTGAGATGGCCGTGTAAAAAACGCTGACAAGAATGAGGCCATACAGAACAGCCATCGGACCGCCATTCTGGAGCGCAGCGACGATTGTACCTCCGGATGAAGCCCAAGAACTTTTGGTCCTGTTAGTCCCACGAGGCGTGATGGGTGCAATTTCCAATGTACAAGGGCCTTACTTTGCAATGACAATCCCCAAGCTGGTCAAACTCCACAGTCCAAAGTTCCGCACCAGCTCTTGTTTATGCCCGAGGGTGGATTCCAGCCGTACTTCGTCCATCACGGTATGGTCTTTCGGGAACTTTTCAGTGTCGTCGGTGGATTTCCTTGAAACCACCACCATTTTGCCTTGCGTGATGTGATTATAGAGCGAAGTTTCCAGTAAGGAATCGAGCCATGGCAGCGACAAGATGAGGAAAGAGAAAAAGGAGGTACACAACCGCACTAGGTATGACAGAGCGCACAGAGCGCACAGGAACGGTGGCGTGTCTTAACAAGACTGTCGGATCTGAGGGCCAATGCCCACTTGGCTGCCACCTGTCCTTCGCAAGCTCCAGCATTGATGCAAATTTGACTAGTCGACCGTTTTCTCCAACGGATTGCACAGGATTTGTATGTTTGTATGTTATTAGGGTGTTGTTAGCCATGATATCACTCTCTGTGTTCGAAAAGGGCTCATGCTGTGCACATGTATGGAATGTGTTGTACTCCGTACATTGTCCAGATAGACTATAGGATCGCATTTAATTGGACCTGTATGCATGGTTTCCCTGATGACTTCCCAAATCGAACTGAACTGATACATCGCCAAGCAAGGGGGGTTCATAGCGAATGTGGCATCTGGGGCGTCGATCCGATGGGCTTAATCACACACTTGTGATGAATTCCATTCAACAAGTCAAGCTATCCCTTGCAATCTCGCATTTGGCAAGGTTTTGTTGCTCGCCCAGATCTATTCTCGGTCCCCGCACTATCAGGGGTCTGCTGTGCAAGATTCAGCGCCATGCAGACAATCGCGATGCCCCTTGACAACCACATGGCCTCCCATGACCGATCAGTTGCATCCTCAAGATGTGGCCACGGAACAGCTATCTAGCACACACAGACTGCTCTTTTAGTGCTTGATTGTGTGAACAAGCTGCGCAGATTTGAAAGTATCATGGGACTTTTTGATTCCCTTGCGAGAGCCGAATGGCAGGGATTTGAAATTGAAGGTGATCTAAGATTGGCTTATGTTGAGCTCCGTTATCTGCAAAGATCTGGGATTGCTCTTTCTAGCATAGTATCTTGAACGCTCCAGTCGCCGTCCCAAGCCTCGACCACATCACCCACCCAATTCCCACTAAATCTGGAGAGGCTTTGACTGCTAGATATTTCGATTACGACACTTCAATTCCAAAAGAAACCCAGCCTGACAATTGCAAGCATTCATGAAGCAAGAGGTGATTCTTGGGCGGTCTCAACTCCAGTGGGCTCATTAAGCTTCATTCTTGTGAATTCGTCGGCTTATTACAAGTCGTTATCAAGGGGTTTCCTTGCCTGTGAACCAAATCATCGTTTCTTAAAAGAAAAGCACCGGAAAGCCCATATTATCTGTGACTCTGATCCGCATCGCCCTTGGATCAAAAATCTACGATATTCGGGCCACAACAACCAGTTGCGCTCATTCGACTTGCACAGATTTCTTCAATTTGCTGGACCCCCCCAGAGTGCTGGGTAAACGGGTTGATCCTCGAGTGGGAAACTTCATCACCGTCGTGCCTCTGGAGCAATGATATAGAGTATTCGGTGGTCATTTTGAGATAAGAGAACGCAGCTGAGTGCATTCGAGGGGCAAACTCTTAGATTTTTGTACACTATGGTGGTAGCGGCTTTTCAGCTTCCAAATGACCAAATACCTGCAAATCTTGATGCTGTTATGAGTGTTCAGGGATTATAGTTCTCTAGGGATGAAACGCAGAAGGTTGAACATTCTTAACAGGCATGATCTTCGGTCCACGATTGGCCTAGCAGGTCAGTTTTTTAACCCTTCCATTAGCTCGCATATCGTGCAAGTCACAGAGGATCACCTATAAGCTATTATTCTCGCCATATAGATCAACGCTCGGTAACTCTCTAATAAAATTCTACCCACACGGCTTGCATCCACTACTAAATATGACCCATCAGCAAGGTTGATGCATAAAGACCATAAAGCTATGACCAATATGCACATGGGACACTTTGGCCGAGAAAAAAAACTGAATGGCGAGGAGGCGATTGATGTTGGGTGACACCAATCTCGCTTAACGTATCCTATTGAAGATATCGCGCACAGCTGTGTCGCTTTGCACAACACTGGGGATTGATTGGAAGACTTGGTGTCACTATGTTTTGTAGATGATTTTCTCAACCTCTTGTTCTAGCCAGCGGAAGAAAAGCTCGAAGAAACAAGGCAGCAACGTGATGAAATTTCTTCTCTTATATCTTTTCTGTACTCCATGTCTACTTTGTTCCTAACCCGACTGTCATCAGATTCTTCATGGAAGCAATCTCTTGCGGTTATGCCATTCCTCCTTGCTTGTCAGCCAGCACAGATATCTCACGAGCCAAGACGCATGAGGCTGCAGCCCTGTCTCAGTTGGTGGCTTTAAATTCCATCCCTGGGACCTCGGCCACTTTCACCGACTAGAATAAATGATCGCTATCGGCGCAGTAGCTTATTCCGAATACTCCGTACATCAGTTATAGATTTATCCGAGGTGCTGGTAAATAAGCCATGACAACATTTCGAACTGGCCACTGATGCTCTCAGCAGAACCTTCCGATAAACTACCGTTCCCATCACATGGCAAATTCGCTCTATAGCGTCCTCACAATTTGAGGTCCGATTTAGGCCAAAGGTCGTTCTATGGGCCAGGATGGGGAATGAGTCGCCCACTCCAAATGCGCTTTTTACAGAAGCCGTAGTCTGCTGGTCTATAGGACTTGTTGTCTATATCGGGAGAATGTGGGTTTGCGATACAAGTCTGGAACTAGAGCAATGCTAACTGCAGCGAAGTGTGGCTCGTATAATAGCCAACGGATCGTACAAACGATTGTGTGGTAAGACTTCTAGCCTATCCTTGTTATAGATTAGACTAACGAGTAACCCTCTAGTGGACGACTATGTTATGACGGCGACCTTCGTAAGCGTTATTATCGGAAAAATGAGTCACTTCTCTTAACTGACCCGAGGGCTTCTCAAAAGGCAATCTACACTACACTGCTAATCCTGATTCAAATATCGGCGCACTACGCAACGAACCTCATGGACCCCAAAGACTACGACAAGGTGCTGGCAGATCCAAAGCAAGTCAGCGATCGCATCTATGGAAGCAAAGTTGTCATTGGGCTAGAGCAGTGCATGTTGATCTCAACCTGGGGCGTCAAGACATGCATGCTGATCCTTTATTGGCGAATCACGCAGAATCTGAAATCGAACCTTTATATTAAGATCCTTTCCATTTACGTCGCCGTGGGATTTGTCGTCATAATGATCACCTACTATGCAGTTTTTTGCCGGCCCTTCTCACAATACTGGGCTATGCCGGTAGACAACATGCAGTGTGCGACATACCAGCACTACTCGATAACCCAAGCCGTCTTCAACATTTCCTCCGATGCCATTATGTTCGCTATCCCGATTCCTCTCCTAATCAAAGCTCAACTCAAACGGTGTAGAAAGGTCGTCCTCATCGGCGTTATGAGTCTGGGGTTATTCACCATTATTGCTGCTATCCTAAACAAGTTTTTCAATTTTGCCTCCCCACTCACAACCACCTACCAAATCTGGTACATTCGTGAAGCCAGCACAGCAATCTATGTCGCCAACCTCATGTGCTGGTGGCCATTACTACGCAAATTGTTTGGCGTCAAGGCGTTCCAGTACAACAGCAATCGAGCCCAGCAACCTGGAAATCCAGACAACCAGATCAATGATAGCCGTTGTTGTGACTCCAACAACTCGCAACCCCACCCTTCATTCATATCCCATCGTTCACGGATGTCACCTTTTCGTCGAGGACATAAACATCCAGCACTTCATGAGTACAGCATCACTAAGCGCTCGAGTACTGAGCCCATCAACAGGCCCAATAACGAGTTCATGCACGAAATGTATCGTGCGGAAGCTGTACCCCTCGACAACTGGACCTCAAATGAGCATACTCGAATGGACACTTGGACAACACAAGGTTCACACCACCACTCGCTTGAGAAAGAGTGTGAAGTTGAATGGTACCAAAAGCAGCATGCACTGTCGCCTTGTTGATGTTGCATTCAGTCTATTTGAATTGCTAAAACTGCTTGTACTTTTTAAGACTTGGTGATTTGCATCTGAATAAGACTACAATTCTCTGCCTGCAGCTACAACAGAGTGAAATAGACAGTTTACCACTGACTGATTAAATTTCCATCCGATAGGCCGCTGTTCCAGACGTACATCACACCATCCTACATCAAGCAATTTCCTCTAACCTCTGACCCTAGTCAGTATTTCTGCAGTAAGAAGGGCCACCTATAGATAGATACTCACCCTCTACCTTCCTCTAACTTCTTCCCCCTGTCCGCTTCGCCGCTATGAGTTTCATTGTTGTTTTGGTTGCTCGGGCCAGTCCTCAAGAAGCTTCTAATCAAAAGCCTGCCCTAGACAGACTGTGCAGATCTATAAATCTAGTTGGCCAGAACTACGGTCCCTTCTATGGCTGCACTTGTCAATCTCGTAGCTTCTACACGTTCATCCACAACTCTGACCAGCCACTGCGTTCTGGGATCTGCATTCCAAAATTTTGCTAACGTACTTGATGAAGGTCCCGGCAAAGGCTAGAATGTAACTCTCGTTCTGAACGGCTGGGGCGCCCTGGCTGTCGATACGATGACATTTATCCGATTTTTTTGGATCCTGTTTTGGCTTCTGATATCGCTTTGTCCGTTGAAATCTTTGCCAATTGAGCTTGTTCAACCAACCCTTCTCAATTCTTCGATATCAACCCCACCGAAGCCTGTGCCCTTCTCACTGGCGACCTTAATCCGACAAGAGACATTTACTCCGATGACGACACACATTTGAGACTCAACGCCCGACCTCAAGTTAATATCCCGATCCTGTCAACCTAGGTCCTACTACCTGCCCTAGGTTCTGTCGCTCCAGATCATTATCGACCCAAACTTCCTACCCCAAGACTCTCTGGTCGACATTGCTCAATCCTCACTGCCTTTATCCAATCCCGCAGTTTTCCCTGCATAGTCCACATCCACACTACAACCACATTTCAGATAACCCCATTTTGTGACGTCTTTAGTCCTGCCATTGGTGTCCGGTCTCAGTAGCCTGTCATCTTCTCAAATATTCAACAGTGTCTTCACCAATCCGTGTTCAAAATGAGGGTTGGGCCCCCTATTCAGTGTTAGCCGAAAGGCCAGCCGGATAGGTTGCTAATTAATATAGACAAGCTTAGCTCCGACCAAAAAGGGTTGCACAAACTGGTATCAACTCCATCGTATGGCAGTGTAGGCAATCCACACCAGGATTATGGAGACACACGGGTATGTATCCCTGCTCAAAATCCAGTCGTGTTTCAACTGTGTTATGCTGAGAGAAGCCCAGTTGAAGACCAGTCATTCACAGCTTAGGAGCTGGGACGCCAACTGGTGAAATGACACAGGCAATTGCTATCCGGATGGGACACAGACACGGTATAAGGGCGAGGACACAGAAAAGTCCACTATCTGGCTTGTTACTACTTTCGTATACATCCAAAGCCTCAAATGACCATCTTCACAGACCATCTCAAAAATTCAACTCAAACACCATCAAAGATGTAATCTTGAAGACATCAAATGCCAATATCTGAAAATGACACTACCCTAAAGCAGTTCAGGGACACGAAATTTTTGAAAAAAAAACCGAGTCAAAAGAAAAAGTGCACCGACCGGGGTTCGAACCCGGGCTGCCGCTTGAACACAGGTTCCCTCGTGAAGAGAAAAGTAGCCTATTTGGGAAAGCGGTGTCGTGACCACTTGACTATCGGTGCGTCATTCTGCCACCAGGCTATCTGAGCTCAGTTCTGCTATGAAGGAGCTGAATCTAAACCACAACTAAACTTGTCCTGGGCCTCATTTATGGAAAAAGTCAACGCAAGCCAAAAATTAAGCTGCAAATCCGGGCTTAACTACATGTTTCTACTTATGGGGGACTGTGGGTAGAAGAAAAATGTTGGATTTAGATACAAATCGCCAAAGCGATGTGTTTGAAGGTGTGAGCAATGAGCAGCAAATCATGCAGATAGAACTATTACA